CCCGATCGTCAAAACACACCCAGCAGATAGTTCAAAACCACGTTAATAGGTGCCACCGCCATGATGATACGAGTCGGCACAGCGAAGAGACCTTGACGGGAATTAGTGGTGAGCATCGAACTACAGACCTACACACCTTGGGACTGGAAATATCGGCTAACGTGCCAATTAGGACGATGATTTAAAAGTGAAGGAAGCCAAGCTTACCGGGAAATGCAATTGAATGCATAGGCCGGCAGACCTAACGAGGCCCATTTCAAGTAAATACCAGCAAGCCGCGCAACCTCCGGTTCTTGCCTCAGTAAAAGCAGGATAGGCTCCGCATTAAACCATATAACAAACATAGGCTAATAAGCCGATGATTCAGTGAAAAACACGTTCAACGGGATTCGACGACTTACTATAAGTGTAACAGCCACGACAACCGCTTTTAACAACGAATGGTAAGTAGCGAGCATCAAAAAAACAATGATACTCACTCATGCGCTGCGTCCACAGTCCAACAAGGTGCGGTTGATCAGAAGTCCAAGCCCCGGGAAGCATTGTGTCTAAGGTTGAAACGAGACCATGAATAATGCTCAGACCGGTGACATTAGCGGTCATGAACCCAATAGTTGCGGCAGCAAGAGCAACAGTTGAGATATGGCCGATGGAGATCACAGATGACAATATCATGCTGTGCTCAAAAACATGCGTGCTGACAAAAAGGTTTGGGTCAGCTGACAGTACATCTGGTGTATGAACTCACCCAAAGACAGGCAAGGTGTATTTCAACAAGATCCATAATTCTTCCCAGTACATTTGAGTGGTGCTAGGTTCGTGTCCATCACTAGGAAAGTCCACGTTCTCCCGAATAAGCGGGATCAATGGCGCCAGGAGGGGTGTGTTCTCAGTTGGCTGAAGGACAGTCGATGGAATTATTTTCATGGACGGTTGCGGCGGAAGGATATACGATGCAGGGAAGCTGGTGCGCCTAACCTGCCTCCGTGATGCAAGCAAGCCATCCTCTTCACCATACTCTTCCTGGTCGTTCCTGATAGAAGAAGCATCAGGTTCTTCCTGAGCTTCTGAAAGGGGAGCAGCAAAACGAGATAGAATGGCATAATCTTGGGGAAGGGACGATGGTGTCCCGGATATCTGAGATATGTGTGCCATTACTCCAACCTGGTTTGTTGCCAACGTGCAACTCCGAACCAAACGGAAAAAACTGCTAGAGTGAATGGTGGACATCAATAAGTATTGTCTGACATTCAATTAGGCTAATCATTCACCTTTTGGAATGAACTACACGAATCTTCCAGTGGATGCTTGGTGAAAAGGAGACCAAAGATAACGGGGAAAAGTGTCAAAAAAGTATCTCATTTATGATCGATCAAATTATTATATATTGAAGGAGTTTTACATAACTAGGGTGCGGAGCTCATGTCAGGTGATATGTATGCAAACTTTACTTTTGTACCGCGGGCCAGGATGGCAGCTGCCTGAGAGGATTGCGTTAACGTTTACTGTACGACTTGTCTGTACAAAGAACTCAAACCATAATCTTATGTATTAATGAAATCGCAGAAGATGTTGAAGAATCATACAATGATGAGTAGTATGACACTGTATGTATATTTGGCTTTCATTTCCGATCATTCCCGATCACGTGACAAGGCGCGTCTAGACGCGTCTGATTGCAAAGTCGACCGTTCCACCCCAGTCGGACTTACCAAAATGGCGACAAAAAACCGCGTCTTTTCTAGTACAAGGGTAGTCTATCGTCAAAGTATTCTTCAATCACCCACTCGAAAACGTACCAACACAGAGGTCCATGACACTTCACAGCCACGGAAAGCGTTTGGCGACCTTGACGACACAGTGGATTCTGACAGTTCGATCGAGATATTCGACGGTAACCTGTTTTCAGAGAAGAAGAACCTGAAGGGTGCAAAGGACTTGTGTGGGAAGCAACCCAAGCCGTACGCGTCTTATAGCTGGTTATATGCTTTGAATTCAACGTGTCAATACATAGAATCCACCCATTCTTTTTGGAGTCCAGACGTAAAGTCGCCCTTACTTCTGCACTGTCCAAATCGAATAGCAAAGTGGCAAATCTCGACGAGAACCTGAGAAGTACAGAATGCGTCGCGCTGCGACCTGATAAAGTACCGAAAAAATCCCTGAATCACACAAACGCTATGGAGACCGGAATATCAAGGTCAGTTTCTAATGGTCAACCGCATAGCCGAGTGTAGATCCTTACTAGAGTTAGACGGGGAATGGGTAGCGATATCAACATGACAGAAGTTACAGAACTACACAACAGCACTAGTATGGCAGTAGCTCGAAGCTCAGGTCCCGGAGGGAGAATGCCCGAATATTACAAAGGAAAAGGTAGTCGAGTTACAGTGTCGAAATCTGAGTCCTTTGAAGCAGCCTCCCAAATGCCAAACTACTCCTACGCGAATTACTGCACCCCCTCGCCCGCCGTTGTCTACACGCGGTGCGAGGATGAAGCCAACAAATTGGTTCAAACACTTGAAAGGTATGTTAAACTGTAACTGTTATCGCAAACGCCGCACCGAAGCGTTCATTATGATTATGCCTGCTACTATAGTCCCCTTGGATTTGACCTAGAGTGGCGTGTACTCTGGAATTCTGGTGCACAGGAACGACGAACAGCACTGGTACAACTTTGCGACAAATCGACTATCTTGCTGATCCAGGTAAGCCAAATGAAACGTACGTCGTCTCATAGTTATAGTCTGCTGCCGCCTGAATACTTGGTTGTGTGGCAGGGTTTCCGGAAAGGGTCTTGGTAAGCCCAGTCAGTTAATGGTGTCATAGATGCTATCTATTAATGGCCCGCAAGGAGGTAATTGAGTCGCCAAACATTGTAAAAACAGGAGCGAACATCCACAGTGCGTAGCTTGAAAGTACGAACTGTGATTCACCTGATGCAAACTGGTAGATGATGGCGAGAAATTGTATCGTGACTTTGGGATCACAACCCGAGGACTCGTCGAGCTTGGTGCACTTGCACATGTCGCAGATGATACTTTCTCTGGCATATACAAGCGACGAGTAGTCAGTCTCGCCAAGATGGTTGCTATGTACCTCGAGTGCAATTTAGTGAAGAGCAAAGAGCGCACCAGTAATTGGGAGGCAGACCTGAATAATAAGATGGTGCATTGTGAGCCCCCCAACGTGATGCAGGAAAACTTCAACTAATGACATCCATCAAGATGCGGCGAATGATGCGCATGCAGCGCTGATGGTGCACCTGAAGCTCCTAGACTTGGCCAAAGCTGGCAACAAAGAACTTGACCCGACCAAGTATACTAGCTCAGTCGATCCACCTAGTCAAAGGGCGGGTAGTACCAAGGTGACATCATCACCTACGCCGCCGGAATTCAATGCGCCATCATTAGCACCAACGCCCCCTCGCCCGCAGTACATGCGGGCTTATAACCTATGGCACCACCGGAATACGCCTCTTGATAAGATGTGCAACATATTGAAGACAGGTGGGCGAGTGGAACCTCTGAAAGAGAGTACGGTGATGTATGTAGTATTATTTTTACGTTACGTTGTGTTCGATGCTGAATTGTAGCCTGAACAGATCGTACGTGGTGGGTGCCATCCAGGCAGATACGTCACTACCATTCGATATGAGTAAGCTGCTGGAGCTGGTGAAGATGGAGGCGGGAAGTTGGTCACGACATCGAGCATGGTTGATGGACGCAGAGAGGAGCGGTCGTGGATGTTGTATGCCGCCGGAATTGGAATAAATTAACAGGCCGTCGGCCTGGGCGAGGGGCTCTTGCCAGATGCTGAATGCCGCCAACTCAAGGGTTGGAAGGAGGGGTGGTAGCGGCGCTGTCACTACTGTCTCCGTGCAGGTGAAAGCGTTGTATGACAGGGATGGCCGCATAGCGGAGTATATATGTACAGCTGGAGGTTGTATGGTACGGGTAGAGAAGGCCGAGGTAACCCACATTGTGGGAACTCAAGAGGAGCAACCGTCCTTCTGCATGGTCTGGCTATGAGAGACCTGGGCTGAACTAATTCCCCTATGCAAATAGCCTGAAAGTGTACGGTTCACCTGGAAATTATGTAAATAAATTATTTGAATCAAGGAAGAGGAAACTTTGGACGACGCGCACGGGTATTACTACAGTATTGTGCCTGTGGCACTGGCACACACAGAACTTGGCAATCAACTTACAAATTTGTGAGCCAGTGTTACAGCAACTCTCGCTAACAGCGCAGAGGATTCCGAGAATCGACTTGAACTTATGAATAGTATTATAACTAAAATGAACACGTCTCATCCACGCGAATGAAGTACTCTAATTTAGCCAAATTCGATCGCCACAAGACCATTGCATACCAAAATTTGTGTGACCTTCAGACACGAGGGCATCAGCAACACCAAACCATGGTATCTGGAGGCTGAACGATAATCGAGTAGGGTAAGCACTAAAACTAAGCCAGAGATAGTGACATGACAATGCTTCAAGGCCTATTTCCAACGCACTGACGAATCCAGAACACAGTGGGAGTCAAGACACGAATAGCTTGGTTGAACCTGTAAGGAAAAGACCATAATTATACCTTCAAGATCTGTTTGCTCACCAAAATCTTTTCCTGCGGGCTGACGCGCGTCACCGAACAACAAAACAACAAAGTTTGTAAGGCTGCCAGTGAAAAGGTGCAAGTGGTGTTGAATCTGTTGATTGTGATATTCTACAGGAGTAACAGGACCTGTCAGTTTACAGGAAATAGAGGCCTGCCAAAACAATGCTATAAATTGTGCGCTTAGCTATTGAGCAGTTACTAGCGGTATCGGGGACTAGGTACAAGTGAGTGAGTGGGTGATAGGACACAGGAGCCGTCAGGTTTTCAAATTCCGTCAGGTCCTAATTACCGTACGCTTGTTGAGCCATATGGAGCGGTGCCACGTGACACTGTGCCACGATATTGATTGCTCCCGCTCCAACTCCGTACGGCGCCTGCTTTACATGAATTTTCCTACTCACGAGCCACCGTTTTTTCGTTCTTCCTCACGCCCACTTCAGTTCATGATATAACTCTTCATACTCAACATTCATAGGCTACTACAGCACGTATTCATAGTACCAGCAAGTGTTATAATTCTCTCAAACCAATTGACGTTTCGATTACCGTGATGTCGCACAAGCACGATACTCGTCCGCAGTCGCAGAACAGCAGACTTCTTGTCGTACGTTCAAACCATCACGTTTCATCGCTCTATAGTGACCAGAGACTCTAATTACAGACTGGCACAGTGCTCTTCTACCTTGTAGCAGCACTATGTGTACGTCCGTCTCCTGCTTACTACCCTCCTGTTCATTAATAAATCCCTTTGCATGCAGATGGTCATGGCGCAAGTATTTTTCTGTTCCAATATTCACCAACCTCACTTATTCCTTTCGAAATACAGGAATAAATGGGTTCTCAAAACGACTGATGCTCCGCTCTTCTTCCTCTTTACCCAGCTTGTCATTGCCGTCATCCTTTTCATTGCCGCACATACGACCCGCCTCTTAGTTGTGCCTTTATATCTAGACACCCAGCTTTTGATCCAGCTCGCACCCAACATTGCGTTGAATGTTATTGGATTGAGGTATGACTCTCCCATGAATCAACAACACCATGTTTTGACATTGATTCGTTCGTCTTGCCACCAGCTTCAGCAACTATACCCTCAAGTATGTCGACGCATCTGTCTACCAAGTCGCGCGTGGTCTCGTCCTCCCCTTCACAGTCCTTACCTCTTACTTCTTCCTCTCCGCACGGCCGTCCCTCCGCATTCTATTTAGTTGTTCCATTGTTACCCTCGGCTTCTTTGTTGGCGTCTTTCTCGATTCTGTCCCCATGGCTCTCGTTGGTATTGGCTTCGGCGTTGCAAGTTCCGCAATCACGGCAGTGCACAGCGTGGTCATCAAAAAGAGTCTGGATATAGTCAAGGGTAGCGCCATGAATCTGTCGTGGTATACGAATTTGCTTAGTGCGGTTGTGATGATGCCCATCATTGTATTTGCCGGTGAGGTCCCGGCCATCACGGATTTATTTTTCGGAGCAGGTGTTGTCCCTCAGGAAGGAGGGCTGAGCGACTTGCAGACGTTCGTTTGGGGCTCCTTTATCACGGTGGGTATTCACATCCGCTTTGGCAATTTACGCTATCGCTGACTGATGCATCATTAGGGTGCGCTTGGCTTTATGATGAGCCTTGCTAGTCTGCTGTCCATCAAAGTTACTTCGCCCATCACACACATGGTGTCCTCCGCAGTAAGAGGCGTAGCAGCATCCATGTTAGGAATGTGGTTATTTGCAGATATCATCTCAAGGTGCGTCTTTAAGGTGTCATGTGACTGTCAAAATTCTTGTGATGAACATCTTCTTACTACAGCGGCCGTGCATCCTCCATTGCAATCATTCTTCTAGGGTCCATTTACTACACGTGGGTGAAACACGTCGAATCTCAGCAAACTTCCAAGGATGCAGGCAGGTACAATCGTCTTCCTCTGGAAGATGTTGAGGCCGGAAAGGAGTTCAGCTCGAAACCTGAGTGAGAGTGCGAGAGTGTAGATTGCCCGCACGCGAAGCACACGCGCATGGATGCTTCTAAAATTATATTTCTTACTTCAGGACAGGACATTTGATGAGTCGTGATACCCCGAGTATTTATTTGATTCGAAGAAGATAGTGTCATAGAGCATGATGCAAAAAACTGTTATCACTAGAAAGTGTGCAGAACGATCGTGGTCTTTAAGCATGATAAATTCACGTCCGAGCCGAGTAGACGTCAACTTATCTCGCGAAGGGGGAAGTGTCGTAATGTCACAACTTTGCTCCTTCCTTTCGTTTGCGATACTCTTCTCTCTTCCGTCTCGCCAATAGGGCTTTGCCAGCACGACTCGTAGTCTCTCGCCCAAGTACCCCAGAAATCCACTCCCCGATTTCTGCCAACCGAGCTAGGTCAACGGGACCTACATCCCATCGACTTTGCACCGTCTTGGCGGGCTTGCCATGATTGCCTACCGTATATATTAGATAATCAGCTTACAAGGAAAGATATACAGAGATGGGCTTCACCGTATGGTTCACTAATATCGCCGAATAACCTATCTCCAGTAAGAGCATAGATAACATCTTCCGTTGCAACATTACCCGTGGCGCCAGGACTATACGGACACCCTCCAAGGCCACCAACGGACGCATCAAATGTCCGCAACCCAAAGTCAAGAGCAGTCATAATATTGGCAGTCGCTGTGCCATTTGTATCGTGGAACTACACAGTCCAAAAGAACACTGACTCAACCGTAAGATAAGATACGAGCGAGTGAATCTTACATGTCCAGCAAGGATCCCTATGTCTACTTCTTTTGCAACTTCCTCAAGCATCCCGAGGATGCTGGCAGGCGTCCCTGCACCTGTCGTATCTCCCAAGCTCACCTCGTAGCACCCCATTTGTGCGAGCTCCCTCGAAACATCCCTAACCCTCCTCGGATCCACACGTCCGGAAAAGGGACATGTGACGACTACTGAAACATACCCTCGCACCTTCAACCCAGCATCAAGAGCTCTGCGTGCAACTGGCGCGAGACGTTCAAGAGAACCTGAAACAGAGACGTTGGTATTCGCAAGAGAGAACGCATCTGTCGCAGAGGTAAAGATCGCAACTTCGGTGACTGGAGGTGGGGGCTTTGCGTGTGAGTTTGGAGAAGTGCTAGTAGAGAGTATTTCTAGGAGGTCATCTAACCCCTTCTGATTTGGGACGAGTACCGAGTAACCTGTTTTCGGGAAACTGTCTATGAGAGCCAGGACCTCTGCCGTACCTGCCATCTGTATGCCATGTTCGCATATTAGCACGAGTGTTGAAGTGTTGGAGAGTATAGACGTGCCTGAGGTACCCATTTTGGGCTCACGAAGCTGCCGGCTTCGATATTGCGCATCCCTGCGATAGCGAGTCGATTGATGAGTTCTGCTTTGATGGGAGGTGGAATTGGCTTGGGCTCATTCTGGAGACCATCACGAGGCCCAACTTCGACTATCTTTACGAAGTTGGGATTGGTTGAGCTGGCGGTGCTTAGTGTGGGCTGTGATGTGGAGAAGGACTTGAACTTGAGGGTTGTCTTAAGGGTTGAGCGCAGGACTCGAATGCATGAAGAGTTGACGGATGGATAGAGCATCCTTAATTCAAAGTGAAGAAAGTTGAAGCGAACGCCGAACAGTGACGGGCCGCCGGGACGAGTACTAGAGCATTGATTGCCGTCGGATGTTCAAGTTAGCCTAACGCTTCCACCATGCAAAATATGATAAACATAATGTGCCTATTCTATGTGCCAGGTCGTACCAGATAGGCTAAATGCCTATCGTCTCATGTGAGGTAGTAAATGATATTGACGGGTACTATGACCCGGAAGACATCGTACTAGTCAATGATCCTCACCTGTACGATATAAACAGTATATCTAAGAAGTAAATCTAAGAAGTAAAGTACGATGGTTGCGGGAAGGGTCGGGCGCTCGCGTGGCTTTCGCCTATTTCGCTAAAGGCCATGTGGTTTGCGCTTAGCTCGCTTAACCTCGATTTGGAAATCTCGCGTGGTTTTCTCGCGTGGCCTTTGAGCGCCGACTCAATCTCCTTTGCCCATTAGAACAGCACCCATGTTTATTCATGAAATTTGAGTGTTTTCCTGCAAGTGTTGTAGCAACTGTATATACACAAAGTAAATAGTCGAAATGAAATGGTGAATGACAAAAAGTAGTGACAAAAATAAACAAATAAAAAGGGAAAAAGAAGGGAAAAGACAATGGAGAGACAAAACCTGGGGAAGGGAAGAATTGGGAGATGAAAGATATAAGAAAATTGGAAAATTGCTGGGAGAATGGGAGAATGAGAAAACAGGGAGAATGGGGAGGAGACGGGAGACGGGAGACGGGAGACGGGAGACGGGAGACGGGAGACGGGAGACGGGAGACGGGAGACGGGAGACGGGAGACGGGAGACGGGAGACGGGAGACGGGAGACGGGAGACGGGAGACGGGAGATGGGAGACGGGAGACGGGAGATGGGAGACGGGAGACGGGAGGATGTAGGAGACAATTGGGAGATGGGTAGGTGTTGGAAAAAAGTTAGGTACCATTGTAATACTGCTGGATTACAAGTTTGGCTTGGCACCTTAAGAGGGCCTTACAAGGCACTTTAATGGGCTGTTCTGGGGCATGGTGAGGCAAAACTCAATGTAAGGTCATCAAAAGGGCCCTTATAAGTGCCTTTTAATGGGCATTAAAATATTATCTTGGAGGAGGCACTTGAACCCGTACCACGACCATGGAGGGTTTTCCCACACTATATGCGGGCAAGCTTGAGCGACTCTCGCTCACAGTAACCCACTGGCCTCGAATAAACAAACCTGCTCAACCAATAAACCTCTAAAACAGACCAAGAGACACCCACATACATGCGCCATGAACCGGAACCCACCCACCACCAACAAACGTCAGAACAACAAAACTCCAAGCCCAACAAAAACAACCAACGTCAATACCCAACATCCCCCCAAACCAAAAACAAGTCTTGCATCGATAAAAACAAGCCCTAAAACAAGCACGACCATAGCACCCAATATCATACATACCTTGAGGAAAGAACGACACCCGAAATGAACACCAAAAGAGAAACCAGGCGACACCTAGGTGAATACCCGAAAAACATCCCTTAGTCCGCACGTAAAATAACGCATGCAAAAACGACTAAACAATCATACTGACAAAACTAAACGACCACCAGAATACGTGTACATACCCACTAACCCCACAAGCGAGATAAGCAACACCATGCCCCCTCCACCAACCCGAGACCGAAGCAATACCCGGACCCATAGCACCTCACCATCCCCCCCACAACCCCAATAACCACAAGATCTAACCAAATCAGAAGACACATCAACACGATCCCTGACACGACCAACACAGCCCACCCAAAAACAAGTGACATCCACACAAGGAAATGCCACCCCCCAACACCAAAAACAATGTTTATAAACCTCGTCGAATTGAAGAAAATCCCCAACCTCACTGCAGGATATGAAGGACCTCTCAAGTGTCAAAACAGCCAACATCAACGCTCGTCCCTCTCCAATGGGAACACGCCAACCCCTTCCCAGACCCCATACAGGTTCACAATTCTTCCCGCCCAATGTCTTACAAGATGAAGGGGTCTGCGCGGATGATAACACCTCCACCCCTACTACCCCCTCACCCAAACCCCGTACCTCCATCTCCCAAATGCCCCCCTCCGAATCAGAGGAGAACGTGTCCACTCCAACACTCAACTCTCTCATCTTCGCGAAGGACACAACGGTTGAGATGCCCCTTGACACCCTCCACTCCTCACCTGTGCAGAATCCTGCACTAGCGGATGATGATGAAATGACAGACCTTCTCGTCTCCAGCCCACCCCCCTCCAAACCCGCCGCAACCACACAGGCATCGGAAGAGGATCTACTCCGAGCCCACCTAGCCGTTGCCAAAACCAATTGGTCCATCATTAAATCCAATGGCACCAATTCCCTCACTGTCATTCCGCAGTTCACCCCCGTCCCAATCGGCGGTTTCCCCCACATCCACTTTGCCCACTTTGCCCAACTCTTCGACTACCAGGCAGCTAAGGTCATCACAGCCTGGCTCAAAGTCCCTCACCCGAAGATCCTTGTGAGAGTCTTCGACCATGACGGAAAGAACCCCTCCATCAAGGGTCCCATTCTCGTAGAACATCTGCGGAAAGCCGTCTTGGACATCACCCACTTCGTCCACCAAGATGACATGGATGCAAAGGTGTCACCACTGTGCCCTGATACCAGCAAAGATGAGGCAGACTTCCCCCTCAGTTTCTTAGTGTATAACATCTCTGATGAGACCAAGTCACTCATTCTAAACCAACGTGTTTGGTCCTCACCTGAAATCTCCTTCGCCGCACACCCCTTCAGGGTAAACTCCCCCCCCTTACTTCTCCTTTGTCTACACGGTTTCTCCACAACGGACACCGCAACTGTCAAGACTACTGTCCGCGAAGTCTGGTCAGAAGACATCACCAAGTGGGACATCGGTGAAATCTTATCCGAAAGCAACATCCCTGAAAAAAATGTCCACACCGCAACGTGGAACTTCATCGACTCACTATGGGTAGAGCGCCTTGACTTTAAGGTTAGCGGAGGAATCCTTCTCCCACGCTACAACATTTTCGCTGTCAGCCCCACGAACAACCCCGCGGTCTGGACGAAGCTAAGGGCTTATCTTCACTCCCTCACCTATCCCTCTGAACTCGAGGGAAGCGGTACAGCAGTCAACTTTATGCCATGCACCCTCTGCCACTCAATCGCACACCCTCACGGACTCTGTCCATTCCCAGATGTTCCACTTTGGAACGGTCCCAAGCACAGTACAAACTCGAGACCCAACATGACGAACCAGAAAGGGAAAGGCAAAGGGAGGAGGTACCAAGGCAATGGTCTCCCTAACTAGATACTGAACATACTCGAACTCGATCCACCCGACGTACCATAGTCTTTGTACCCCACACCATGTAGAACCGTATCTGAATAAACTCCCCCCTCTCAAAAAACTCCTGACTCCCCTGCGAAGTAAACCCACTCCTGATAGTGGCAACCACCCGCAAACGTGAATCTACAGGGCTAGATTCAATTACTCCTAACCCTCGGCCCAAATATACTGATCGCGGAAGTGAGACAGGAAAGCCAAGGGTGCCCTGAAGGCGCAAGCCAAAACAGAGGCCTATTTAGGCCAAGGATTAGCCATGCTGAGGATGTTACAGGCATCTGTAACACCTACTGGAGCCCCAGCTCTGCCTATGCCTGCCCCTGCTCTGCTAGACTCCCCGCGCGGCGGTGCGCCGCCCGCGCCTAGAAAGATAGCAGTCTGGACCGCTGTGACCCCGCCCCTGGCGCTATGACCCGCCCCTGGCCTAGATGGCCTTGTACCTGATCCATGGAGGCTGTACGCCTCATGGTCGCCCTAGATCAGCGCATGCATACCACATGTCGCTTCGTGAAGATCCGGAGCGCGCTTGGCGCTTCCTGTACCTATGTGCAGCTGCCCTTGGCGCTGCATGCTTGATCAGAGGTTAAGCCTCATGTATCTTATCTGAACCTCATGTCTTGTTATCATAGATCCTAGATATACTATTGATTACAGACTGAGCTAGAATACTTGTAGTACTTCCCTATAAGTAGACACAGATTATTGTACTTAGACTTTACTTTAATCTACTAGGTCCATCCCCAGAACTTGCTCATCTAAGCCTTACCAGCTTCCTTGTGTGAGACCGCACTTCTAAGTCGCCCCCATACGACTTAGCACGTATCCACTAGCCCTGCATCTCGACGAGCGCCGTCTTACCGAGATCGCCGGAGGAATCCTTGACGTTCCGTCAAGGCTAGACCACGCTCAGCTTCAGTAGGCTCACTTGAGCCGTCGCTGAGAAGACCTATCCTAGTTCGCACACGCCGACCGACGGTCAGCGTAACAGAGGAGCTCAAGTGACCGCAAAAAGACCTCGTGAGTACAGGACTCGCTTTGTTTAAGTAGCGCAAACATGTATCCACCGTGGCTGTCCGGGATATGACAGTCCTCGCCTCTTAATAGTTGTACAAAAGGCGCAGTAAATCGACTACTCAACATTCTCAAAACTTAAATTCAATTTTCGGTTCATTTCACGGCCTTGGTTCGAGCCTCCTGAGCAGCAGAGGGGGAAGCCCTCAAACCGCCGGGGCCATCCCAGATGACGCTACACAGGAGATTGGAGACGGACTCCCCCTTTCTCAAATGCCACACCAGGCAAACTTACAATGAGACACCCCTCGCACGACACCAAAAACAAAAAAAAACAAGAGCTAACATTCCACTAGCTACCCTAAACATGAAGGGCCGTGCATCTACACTACTAGGAAACAATAACGAAATATCTAAATGGTCAGCACTCCATCATGTCATGAGGGAAAAAAAGATTGGTATCCTGTGCGTCCAAGAGACCCACCTACTGCCTGAACATGAAGCACAAATTGAGACACTATACTCAAAAAGAATAAAAGTATTGAACTCACGAGACCCCCTCCGCCCAGGCAACTCTGCAGGCGTCGCCTTCATAATAAACAAAGAAATACTCGACCCGAACGATCTAAAAACAACTGAGATCATTCCAGGAAGAGCCTTAGCGCTAAGAATAAAGTGGCACAACGAAACGTACCTGACACTAGCAAACATATATGCCCCAAAAAATCATGCGCAACACCCCGATTTCTGGAACACAATCACAAGACTGTGGCAAGAAAAAAACATACCAAACCCTGACTTCCTAATGGGAGATTTCAACATCACGGAAGACGCCCTAGACTGCGCCCCTGCCTGTCTCAACAACGAACAAGCAATAGAAGCACTCTGAAACCTAAGATTCCAACTGAATATACAAGACTCCTGGAGAATGAATAACCCAACAATGAGAGCCTTCACATTCTACAGTAAGGCAAACTCACATTCGTGTCTCGATCGCATCTACTCCTCACCAGCCCACGAACTTAGCATCTACGGATGGGACTCATGCACCTCAGCGATACCAACAGACCATAGAATGATCCTAGTCAGATACGCACCGACAAACACCCCATTCGTGGAGAAAGGCCGATGGTCATGGCCGATAAGCCTACTAAACGATGAGAAGTTCATAAAAAAGATTAACGAAATAGGTAGACAAACCCAACGAGAGATCACCAACCTTCAACAACGGTCAGAGGCAGAGAACCCGCAACGAAGCTGGGAAGACTTCAAATCAAGAATAAGGCACAATGCGAAAACCACCGCAAAAGAACATCTATACAAAATTAGACAACGTGTGAGGCAACTTGAAGATGACCTACGCAAAACAACAGAAAACAATGACATCGACACAAATGAATCAACACGCCGACAAAAAGCATGGATCGAATGTGAAATCACCCACCTCGAAAACAAAAGATTCAAGAACAAACAACAACAAGCCCAGGCAAAATGGGCAGCCAAGGGCGAAACAATAAGCAAATATTGGTCTAAAATAAACAGCAGTAAGAAGCCATGTGACATCATACACAGACTAAAAATACCTAATCAAAACCGCCTAGCCTCGCAATCAGACCACATGGCAGAAATCGCGCGTGATTACCATGAAAGTCTTCAAGAAGACTCCCTATCAGACCAAGAAAAGGACATAAGAGCGACAGAAATAAGAAACACACTGCAAGAAATACCCCAAGCACAAAAACTGCAAAACAAAAACTCACCACTACACAAACCGCTAAAGGAAAATAGCGTACTCAAAGCACTATACGCCTCAAAGGCAGGCAGCGCAGCCGGCATAGACGGGATACCATACGAAGTCTGGAAAAGTCTACACGAAAAACACTTAGACGATAGGAAAAAAGACATTCCAAGCTTCGACATAATAAAAACTCTCACCATAGTCATAAACGACATACAAGAACATGGTGTTGACGACCAAACAAATTTCTCGCTGGGCTGGATGTGCCCCATATACAAGAAAAAAGACAGGACCGAGATAGCGAACTACCGCCCGATAACCCTTCTGAACACTGACTATAAGATTCTCACAAAAGCATTAGCAATGCAGCTAGCTCAAGAGATACACTCACTAATTCACCCTGATCAAAGTGGATTTATACCACGAAGGTCCATTTTCGACCCTATCCGGCTAGCACAACTGATGATAGACTACGCGGACATCGCTGAGGAAAACGGAGTCCTGATTGCACTAGATCAGGAAAAAGCATATGATAGAATAAAACACGATTACTTACTAGCGTCCCTTGAAACTTTCAACCTCCCACAAACCTTCATCAAAACTATAAAAGCGCTATACTCAAATGCTTACACCAGAGTTGCCATAAACGGCGTCCTGAGTACACCCTTCAAAGTTACGAGAGGAGTACGCCAAGGCGACCCCCTCTCGTGCCTCCTTTTCGACCTGGCTATAGAGCCACTAGCATGTACCCTTAGAAACTTGGATAAACTATCTGGATATAACATACCAGGACTTACTGATAAAATCATCGTCAACCTGTACGCAGATGACACGACAATATTCCTAAGTGAAACGGACAAATATAGCGACCTGGAGAGCATCCTGTCGAGATGGTGCACTGCGTCAGGTGCGAAGTTCAACCTAGAAAAAACAGAAATCATCCCTTTAGGCTCGAAAATACACCGAGACTGAATACTCCAGACTAGAATAATACACCCTCTGGACCCTCCTCTAGATGAAAACATAAAAATAGCACCTGATGGACACCCTATTAGATCCCTAGGAGCATGGATAGGCAATAAAACGAGCGACTTAACTTCTTGGGAACCCGTACTAAACAACATCAACACGGCATTTAAAAGATGGAATAACAGCCACCCCACACTTGAAGGGAAGAGACTGATAGTACAAATGATGGCAGGAGGGATGACGCAGTTCCTCGCAAAAGCGCAAGGCATGCCTAAAAGTATTGAATCAGCACTAATAAAAATGATAAGAAACTTCGTCTGGAATGACATCTGCACCCCACCAATCAATATAGAACAGATGTACAAATCAAAAGAAGAAGGTGGCATCAATCTGCTCGACATAAAATCAAGAAACGACACAATAGAAATCATTTGGGTCAAGTCCTACCTAGATCTATCCGCATCCAGACCAACTTGGGCCCCGTTAATGGACCTAATACTGAACAACATTAGACCGTGCGTCAACGACAATGAAAACAACAACACTAACCCCTTTCTAACATCGTGGACCCCCCCAATAAGAGGTAATAAAATGAACTCCCTACCACGCGTGGCACAAATGCTCTTAAAGACCGCTAGAAAATACAATATCAGTTTCATGCCTATCAAAATTTCAAAAGATCTGAAAAAGAACTTACTGGCATGGAGCCATATAGGAACCCCAACAAACGCCTACCACAAAACAAAAACTAAATGCCTGAATGAAACACACAAGTCAACAAAGGTTAAAAACCTCTTAAAAATACGCAAGAAACTTACCCACATCAATGATGAAGACCGACACTTCCCTCGAAAAAACTGCCCCTGCACAGCATGCCAAAAAGACCGCAGAATAGGATGCAAAGACCCCCATAAGTGCGCCCAGACCGCAAATGAAATCCTATTTAGAATCACCCCAAAATTCAACACAAAAACAAAACCCAAAAAAGATGGTCTATCACTCACCCGACGGAGAAAAGAAAAAAATCATCAAGCCCACGAAAGCAGACAAGGAGAGATCCTTTTTGACCCCACCACTACCATCCGCTCAAACCTTACAGACTGCTTTAGAATCTTCTCGAACCCAGAACATAACTCCCTCACCCCAGCCCACAGACTACAAGCGCCAGTGAGAGGCCTAAACCTACTACAAGATCATATCACAATCTTCACTGACGGCTCATGTATAAACAACGGGAAGGAAAACTCACAGAGTGGAGGTGGTATATGGCTCGGAGAGAACCACCCAAAAAATCTTGCCTTCAGAATCCCAGGAAGCAAACATTCTAACCAAATAGCCGAGATATCAGCAATACTTCTGGCACTGCAATGAACGGAACCATACATACCAATAACATTCAAAACTGACTCGAGGTACGCAATAAACTGCCTCACGAAACATCTCCCAACATGGGAGGATGATGGCTGGATAGGGACAGCGAATAGCGAATTCATAAAAGCAACAGTGTACCAACTGAGGAGAAGATCAGCTCAGACATCATTTGAATGGATAAAAGGTCACAATGGCCAACATGGGAATGAACAGGCAGACAGACTGGCAAAAGAAGGGGCAAACAAACCCCTAACAGACAAACTTGATTTATCTATCCCAGACGACTTTAACCTACAAGGAGCGAAACTATCAACAATCACACAAGCCTTAGCATATAAAGGGATATGAGAACACATACCGTTTGCCCCAAGACGAAAGACTACAAGCAACCTTGACATCACTAGATTCGCCATCCAAGAACTGACAGGACAACTCGAGACCGACGCCTCGATATGGACAGGTTGCAGACATAAAGAACTATCAAAAAAAGTAAGACAATTCATATACAAAGCCATGCACGGCACACATAGAATAGGTGAATACTGGACTAACATACCCACATATGAACAACGCACGAGATGCACATACTGTAACACAGACAATGAATCCATGGAACACATACTGATAGACTGCCCTCACAACACAAACTCCCTGATCTGGTCCCTGGCCAAAAACACCTGGCCCACGAAATACGGAGCTTGGCCACGAATAAACCTTGGAACAGTCCTAGGGTGTGGTAACATAAGCCCTACACACCCACAACAGTACAACGAACAACAAGACGACATACCTGAAAACCGCCCAAACCAACAATCACAGAAAGGAGCATCACGTCTACTAAAAATACTTATATCCAAATCAGTGTACCTCATTTGGGTCATGAGATGCGAGAGAACGATAAACGGCACTGTCTGTTCCCCACAAACAACCACAAAGAGATGGACATCAATAATCAACAAAAGATTACAAATAGACAGACTTACAGCAAGAAAAATTAACCGCACCATATCCTTCCAAAACCTGGTCACATCAACCTGGACTGACATAATCACGTCCACAGACCCCCTACCCAAAAACTGGGCCATTGCCCTTGAGGTTTTAGTGGGTATCCAACAACCCAGGCCCTCTCCAAACAAGGCCACCAGGTAGCCAAGAGTCCCACACACCCCACATAACAGGAGTGCGTAAGTGCATTTTTCCTTGGACCGAAGCTCCAAGCTCCGCTATAGCGCATATCTGTAGAACTAGATTTACTCGGTGTAGAGACTCATGCCTCTCATTGTGCAATATGGCAGTTTTCACTGGGGAGTACATGGCATGAACTTGTAGCATCACTCTGTGTGCTACCTGCAGCTATCTCTATATGAGGCGTACCTTTCCCGCGCAACGCGCGCCATGCGCGCGTACCTTTCCCGCGCTTCACGATGTATATGCGCGCGCGCTTTCCCGCGCTGTAGTGCCCTATAGCGCCAGCCATCCAGAAGCATCCATCCACTGTCCACCAAGTTCCCTAGTGCGTATATTTCCATTTCTCACATTTGCATATCGTTCCATCTTTATTTTTATCATGGACCCTTACTTACATATATCTTTACATACCTTACTCGGTAGCGCTTCGGCTCCGCATGACAGCGCTTAGGCGCCATACTTAAGCACCAGCAGTACATACTTACTTACAAACTTACTCTCCCACCAGAACGACAGAGGACTTACTGGTTACTACCCACTATTCACCTAGCAGAACATAGTAGAAATCTATTTGTTTACACCTCGCATCTCCCTTCTCTTGTCTTACATCATATCATCACTTAAGCAAACTCACTCTTACTCTCTCTCGTATCTGTATACACGCGCACGCTTTCCCACGCTTCGCGCCATACACGCGCACATTCCTGCGCCTTGCGCGCACCTGCGCTTTCTCGCGCTTCGCATTGGCCAACCAGTAGCGCTTTCAGCGCATACCTCTAGATCCTTGCTGCACTCGCTTCCCCTTTAGGGTCGAACACACTTGTCGTCTCAAGTATAGCAGACTAGGCAACGCATGACCTTACAACAATTATAGATACAGTCAGGAGCATTGTTCGTGCCTCGCTGTATCGTTGAACCTTCATCGGTTGCTACAAATATATATCGCTCGTCCCAAAAAAAAAAAAAAGATTATCTTACCTGTTTAAAAGCCCTTATAAGGACACCCTCCAAATAGAGCATTATAAAATGTCTTGCAAGGCCTTAAAACCCTGGGAACTTTTTTCCAACAGGCAAAGATGGGAAAATAAATACATTCAATGATACTGTTATATATTTTGTAATTTTGTCAGAATCCTGCTCAAAGAATGTAGAACTGACTGATCTTACTATGTACTATGTACTTTATGTGGTGGTAGATTGTACTTTTAGTTTTTTTGAACTGCTCATAAATGTATTTTCAAAATTATTCAAAATGCACAATTTATTAGGATGCAGCCTGAGGCCAGGAAGCCAAAGGAGGGCGTAGCCCTCCTTGGCTTCCTGTGACGAAGGAACAACACTCATTTTCCTCCCCTGAAGGAGCGCGTAGCGCTCCTTCGATTTGTGCCGAAGGCACAACGGGCGTGAGCTCGTATTACTACTACATGGTTAAGGTCTCGGACATCCGAATCTGCATGTACAGTTACAGTTGCGGGGGTACTTCATATCACAGTGTAACTTTGCATTCATCCAGTCCGATTCGCTGGTAAGGAGAACACTTGAGCCACTAGCTTGAGTCGTGAACACGCAGCCCCCCAAAACACTGACGTACCTGTAGTGATATTGCCCAACAGGTTGACGGGGAGACAGGTTCTTGCAACACTTAGTCGGATGACTCTTAGGTGGAATGCCTGGGGGTAATGTCAGGAAGAAATTTAACAACGAGTCTGACGACATAATATTGTTAGTTTGTTATGCATCACCTTACCACCCACATGGTGCTAATTGCAAGGCTGCTCGTGGTCCTTTCTATTATGTCCATCGGATTCAGTGAGAACACATACTTAAATTGTCTCCGGAAAGAGAGGTGGAATCGGCCTGCAAAGGAGGAGTCCAAGATTCAGAACGAGCCCGTTGTCGCTTGCCTACACTTTACTTCCGGTGTGGTCATTCTTCGTTCTAACTTCTGGATTTGCGCACATTCAAGTTGAAATCACCAGCTATTCAATGAGCAACAGTAATAATTAAAACACACACCAAGCTATGCTACCAAACCATTTCTCGGCTTGATTGCTAGTTCGCGGAGACTGTCATGAACGTGTGGTTTTGGCTACTAATCGCGAGATGAGATATTTTTAAATGCATGCTATATGCCAGCCACAACATCATCTCGTTTTCGTACGGGTGATGTGTCTGTCTATCACGGGATAAGTCTCTTAGTAAATCATTTCAAGTTGCTTCTTACGGACGAACAGCGTAAGGATTCGACGTTTAAGGTCTGTTATCATGGAAGGGGGACATCATTAGCAATTGGATTAGCAGGATAAACACGGCAGACTTTTCTGGTACTGCTAACGCGGCACGAGTGTGGCTTGTCAGGGTGCTGCAGGTGCATTTGGTTTCACAAGGTAAGGAGCTTGTCACGGCGCGGCGCGGCGCGATAGGAAAGGCTTCGATTTGGAGGTGACGGAACATCGAGGCTTGACATGATACTAAATTGAAAACTTGAGATTGTTACACAACACGACTCATCTAAAAGCAGAGAAAATAGAAGTATACCAGGCTCCTTCCCACGACCACTTTGCGAGCCAGGGAGACCCGGAGGTGTGAACTGATATGAATGAATATGATACCATTTGGTCTTCTACATATAAATTGTCACGTGCCACAAGAGGTCAGCGTAGATAGCCAAATATGTCATCATCCCCTTACACACTACTACGTGACTGCTCATAATATTTCGTCTTCCCTCGCAGTTCGCCCTTCACATGCACATGTCACACTCGAAGCAGCGTTAGAAAGGGTAGAAATGAGCCCGGGGACGAGCTGTGACATGTGATAAGCCATGATGTATGATAGCGTCGCGTTAGAAGCGCGGTCCGTCAGGTGCACGGACAGGCTAGACGTCGTGTGTAGCATGCTTAGCGTGCCGATGGTGATGCCACTTTCGTATTGACTTGTGATCAACTATACTTCCGCCAAATGGCCCTAGACCTTCAATTACTACCGTTCTCCACCAACAATATGCTTCAACCTGTATCTATATGGGGTTGTTATGGTAAACCAGTTCGGCTATCTAGGGATCGGATTGTGATCGCTGGCGAGTTTTTCCCCGCATAATATTATGCTATCTAGGTTCGACCTTATAACATTGCTGTTTCTTCTGTTCCTTCATCGTCCTCGAGTGGCGGTTATTCGTTCAACAGGATACGAAGATGCTATATCTCATCAAACCAAATCTACCATCCCCTTCTCTCTATATTTTCGAGGAGAAAATTGCTCAGCAAGTCACCATCAATGCCGACGGCAGTGTCGTATCTTTCTGCTGTTCAACAGACAAACGCTCGCGGACGCAGTCGCGACAACTTTTCTGTGCCATCAACCCCTGCACTTTCCCTCTCGCCTTCCATCACAGCTTCCTCCGAGGACAACGCCTTCAGCGAGGACGATGAGAACAACTGCCTTGTATACCCCATTACACCGCCTACCTCCGAACAGATCTTCACTACCGTCCACACAGAGTTTGGTCACTGTGCGAATGAGGCATATCGATGCGTCTCTAAGCATGACTACACGAAACCTTTTGAGGAGAGAACCATCGAGGAGCCACCATACTATGTCTTTTTCGCTACACACATAAGCCTGTTCATTCTCCACTTGTTAGGCCATATGCGCGACTTCTTCGGAAAGCGGTTTGCAAAGTCTTATTTCGCCCACCTGATACCCCAGAATGTATGTGCCATCTTTTGTCCACCTTAAACTTACTCATTGTATACAATTTATTTTGTTCCATGCGCAGGGCTATGCGCCGTTGAATACAAATTTTGATTCGTTCTACACTCGGCGGCTCAGGGGTGTATGACTGACTGCCTGTGCCAGCCCGTTACGGGTGTTCCCGGCCGCACTATTGTTATCCTCGACCGTCACTCCATAGATAACAACTACACACAGACCTACACAGGTGGCAAGACACGTGCGCTGAACATTTCGTCGTACAATTACCTTGGCTTCTCCCAGGGTGGCGGCTGCTGCTCAGATGCAGTCAAGGAAAGCATACGCCGATATGGCGTCTCCGATTGTGGCACACGTCTTGAGGGCGGGAGCTCCGAGCTTCATGTATCTGCTGAAGCCCTTGTTGCGCGTTTTGTCGGCACGGAAGATGCATTGATCAGCTCTATGGGATTCGCCACCAACTCTACTTTCATCCCTGCGCTGGTGGGAAAAGGATCTTTGATCATTTCGGACGAACTGAACCACGCTAGTATCTGCATTGGTGTACGACAGAGTGGCGCATATATCCGGATATTCAAGCACAATGATATGTCAAGCCTCGAGTCCCTACTGCGTGAGGTAATAAGTCAGGGTCAGCCCAAGACGCATCGTGCGTGGAAGAAGGTTTTGGTTATCGTCGAAGGCTTGTACTCCATGGAAGGCACGGTTGTGAACCTGCCTAAGATTGTCGAACTAAAGCAAATCTACAAGGTCTGTCCTGCAATGACAGTTATTTGTTGCGATGTTTGATCTTCTGTTCAAGTTCCACCTCTACATCGATGAGGCGCACTCGATCGGTGCGCTTGGTCCTCATGGCCGGGGTGTGACGGACTACTTCAACATCCCTCCTAGTTCTATTGATGTCTTGATGGGCACTTTCACTAAGTCATTTGGTGCTGCTGGCGGATATATCGCGGGACCGAAAACTCTTATTGACTGCCTCCGACTGCGCGGTCACTCCGGTCCATATGCAGAAGCAATAGCGCCCCCGGTGCTCGCCCAGATTGTTGCCTCGATGGCCAGTATCATGGGTGTTGTTTCGGCACCACGACCAACCAATTCCACCTTTTCTCTTAGCCCTGTGGGCTCGATTGTTACGCCGAGGGACAAAACAAAAGAGCCTTTAGGTATGGTACCTGCAAGCAGCCTGCCGACGTGGATGAACCTTCCTCCGGCTCTTGCAGACGGATCTGAAGCTCGCATGCGTATCCGCCGTCTTGCCTTCAACTCTCGTTATCTGCACGCGGGCCTTAAGAAACTCGGCTTCATCATCTATGGACATTCCTTCAGTCCGATCGTTCCCCTGCTCATCTTTAACCCTGGAAAATTGCCTACGTTCGTGCGTATGATGCGTTCATACAGTCCACCGATCGTCGTCGTTGTCGTAACATATCCCGCCACTCCGTTTGAGACGGCCCGTGCGCGGTTCTGTCCCAGCGCGTCGCACACAAAGGAGGATATTGATATAGTGCTGCGTGCATGCGATGAGGTGGGTGGAATTCTGGACTTAAAACATGGTTCGGGCGAACGATGGGGAATCAACACGGTCTGCGAGCGTGCTGTAGAGCTTGTGCACTCTGTGAACGTTTGAACGCCCGCGTGACTCCAAAACGCTGAAACCCCCGATGTGTCAGAATACTTTGAATGCTATATTTGATTGTTTCCCCTAGTGTTTCCCTGATCCATCTACCTATGCCCATCCATCTATATTCCATATGAACAATTTAACTTAGAGGACGGAATCAAGTGCCAGCGCTGTTCCTCTTGGCAGAGCCCTACAGTCTTGTAGTAGGTATTCTCTGACTGGGCTTAGTCATGGCTCAGGGCCATCTACTTTGCTCGAAAGAGTTCACGGTGGAGGTTTAAATTCAAATACCATTCGTAGAGTTTACAAATTCATCATCCTCTGTTGTGCCTGTAGAAGCAGCGTTTTGTATTACCTTGGCAAAGTCACTCTTGAGCATTTCGAGAAAGCAGCAGCTTGGCGGGGTTCGCTGACACTCAGACAATATTTAATGAAGTCGCATGACGCAATGAAGATAAGACTTGGTCCTAGAGCGCTGATGCTTGCAGGTCATACACGGTGTTAGCAACTGCAGGTTCCCATTCTGTGATAGGTCTCTCGCTGCCTGGGTTTGGGGCTGACCCTGAGCATGATGAAGCATTGCTCTGATTTTTATGTGAAAGTCTGCCGCACGACCTGTACAATGGAATTAGCATTGCAGGAACTCGAAAAATACAGTCATACCTTGTGTACCCTTGCAGCTACTGTAATACTCTTGCAGGTGCCATTTACGACATCCATAAGTGCAGCCTAGATCCTGGACTCAAGTTGCCAAGGGTTGGTAGGCGCTACCAGCTTGCCTGGGTGACGCATGCATCATGATATGCATGAGCCCAAAGCACTCAAGCGCGCTGTTAAATTCAATGTCCGATATCGGCAGCCAGGAAAAACCTTTAACGAAGTGTCAATTTTTCTTTTTGATGCACGTGACGAAAATCTGAGCGTTCTGACTTTCTGCACACGATTTACAATTTTAACCAATTTCAATGTTTGACCATACATGGCCTTCGGAACTCAATTTTCAGGCTTCAAGTTCAAGCTTCAGGCTTGCAAGCCCCGTCGCTGACTTATAGGTGATGATTTTGTATGTTGCGTTGCGCTACCACATTTTAGCCGACAAAGCGCAGCAAATATATCATAGCATGACGTGGTGGATGCGATAGCCGCCGGTTATGGATGCTCGTCTTCAGTGGCTCCTGGTGGCATGCATCCCATGGCCAGATCATATATATGGCAATAATATTATAAAGCAGCCGTTCATTCTGATACTCATCGAACCGTTTTTTTGCTATTGGATCGCCATATTGTGGTAACTCTTTTGCACATTAGTGTTGGAATGTTACCATCCAAACTTCCTGGCAGCTCCGATCTTGTCGACAGCAGATTTCCACGCGTCAGAGCTTGGAAATATGACAAGCAATGTCGCCATATCGTTTCCTTCAGCGGTTACACATACTATCATCATCATCGGCATGCCAGTGAGCGTTCAGACTTCATGGTAATCATACCATGACTACGTGGCAGCTAGATTCAGAGGGGAGATCCTCTAACCCGTCATGCGGTTAAGGTTACTCCATGTTGTCAACTGTTCTGCCAGCGTCCGTCAGGTCCGTCGAGCATCGCAATTACACCAACTCATCATATGTCCGATGAAAGCTTACCCGCATATATTATAAAACGAGCAAGGTGTCATCGCATCCCTGTTCTCCTGTTACTTCATCTCTGAAGCTCGACAGATGTTATTCTTCCTTGAACAGGACAAGAAAACGCTGTCTCTCATGGTATTGAATCCGCCATCCCCTTCTCCGTCCATCCTCAAGGAGAAAGAATCGGCCAGTCAGTTACCATCGATGACGAAGGCAGTGCCATACTCTTCTGCTGTTCAACAAGCAGATTCTCGTGCTCCCGCTCATGATAACCCCCACGCGGCACCAACCCGCGTGTTTTCCTTTTCTTCCTCTGTTACGACTTCATCAGAAGACACCGTCCTCAATGAGGATGATGATGACAACTGTCTCGTGAACCCCCATACGCCGCCCACGTCCGAGCAGGTCTTCACTACCCCTCACACAGAGTTTGGTCACTGTGCGAATGAGGCTTATCGTTACGTCTCTAAGCATGACTACACGAAGCTGTTCCAGGAGCGCGCCATCGAGGAACCCCCACGCTATGTTCGATTCGCTACCTGCGTAAGCATCCTCATTCTCTACATGTTGGGTCGTTTGCGCGATTTCTTTGGAAAGCGTTTCGCAAAGTCTTATTTCACCCACCTTATGCCCCATAATGTATGTGGCATCTCCTGTCCTACTCAACCTTGTTTGTTACCTTCATTTTGTTCCATATACAGGGTTACGCACCGTTGAACTCGGACCTTGAATCCTTCTACCTTCGACGGGTAAAGCGTCGCATGGATGACTGCTATGGCCAGCCTATCACAGGTGTCCCTGGCCGCACTGTTCTTATCCTCGACCGTTATTCCTCCGATTACAATCATACCCAGATCTACACCGGTGGCATGACACGCGCCCTGAACATCTCATCGTACAACTACCTTGCCTTTTCCCAGGGCCGCGGCAGCTGGGCAGATGCAGTCGCGGAGAGCATCCGCCGATACGGCGTCTCCAGCTGCGGTACACGTCTTGACAGCGGGAGCAACGATCTTCATGTGTGCGCAGAAGCCCTCATTGCACATTTTTTGGGCACGGAAGACGCCTTGGTCTGTTCTATGGGTTTCGCCACTAACTCCACTTTTATCCCTGGACTCGCGGGGAAGGGGTCCTTGATCATTTCCGACGAGCTGAACCATACTAGTATGCGGGTTGGAATACGACAGAGTGGTGCGGAGGTCCGGATATTCAAGCACAATGATATGGCAAGCCTCGAGTCCCTGTTGCGTGAGGTGATAAGTCAGGGTCAGCCCAAGACGCATCGTGCATGGAAGAAAATCTTGGTCATTGTCGAGGGTTTGTACTCCATGGAGGGAACACTCGTGAACCTCCCTAGGATTGTCGAGCTGAAGCAGAAGTACAAAGTATGTAATACAATTGCCCTTGTAACACAATGTTGAGCTTTCATTCAAGTTCTACCTCTATGTTGACGAGGCGCACTCAATCGGTTCGCTCGGTTCTCGGGGACGGGGTGTGACGGACTACTTCAACATCCCTCCTGGTTCAATTGATGTTCTGATGGGCACGTTCAGCAAGGGTTTCGGTGCAGCTGGAGGATACATCTCAGGGCCGAAATCCCTGATTGATGCTCTCCGATTGCGCAGTCACTCGGGTCCGTATGCGGAAGCCATAACGCCGTCCGTGATCGCACAGGTTGTTGTGTCGATGGCCAGCATTATGGGTGTGGCTCCAGCACCACGACCCACCAAATCCACGCTTTTTCCCAGCCTTGATAGCTCGATCGTCGCGCCGAAGGAAAGTGCAGAGGAACTCCCAGGAATGGCACCTGCAAGCATGCTCCCGATATGGATGAACCTTCGGCCGTCTCTCGCGGACGGATCTGAAGCTCGCATGCGTATGCGCCGCCTTGCCTTCAACTGCCGCTATCTCCACGTGGGCCTCAAAAAACTCGGCTTCATTGTGTACGGGCATGTCTCCAGTCCGATTGTTCCACTGCTTATATTTAGCCCGGGAAAATTGTGCTTGTTCGTGCGTATGATGCGTGCGCGCCCCATACCAATTGCTGTCGTTGTCGTAGCGCACCCCGCCACTTCGTTTGATACGGGTCGTGCGCGGCTCTGTCCTAGCGCATCACATACAAAGGAGGATATCGATATCGTGTTGCGGGCGTGCGACGAGGTGGGCGACATTCTGGACATGAAACATGGTTCATGCGAGCGGTGGGGAATTGATGAGGTTTGTGAGCGCGCAGTGGAGCTTGTGCACTCTGTGTGAACGCCTGCATGACTGTGTCGTTGGGTGTCTGCTCGGCCTTTATTTATTTGTCGCTCCCCGCCAGCTGACACTTCGGAGCATTTACAAATCATTGCGCATATCGTTCAATTTCGGTGAGATACTACATTGACGACCACGTTGTCACAACGTTCGCTTGTACAACGACAGTATGAAGTTGATGCGAGTAGAGACGGATGGAAGCTGCGAGAGACTGCGAGAGAGAAACGAAGGACTCAGTCTGAGTATAATAGACTCCATTATATATGTATAGATGTACCTGCGAGAGACAAATGAAGGACTATGGTAAACGTTAGTGACGGTCGGGTATGATAAGGAGTGCGAGTATCTCACCTTAGTCTGAGTATAATAAACTGAGGTGGAACGACGAGGGATGGAAGACTATATACCTGTCTGCGTTAGCGACGATGTAAAATACGAGACCGTTATTGTACGTGTGCGCAGCAAGTGAATGTGAAAGTAAAACGAGATAAGAGTAATAGCGAGACTTGCATGTTACGTCGAAATATCCAACAGAAGTATCACATTTCACGACAGTACTCACAGCTTTCTAGAGACACACAATGATTTGTATTTGCGGGTCATGACAAAGATTCGACTCTCATCTTTCACCATTCAGCTCAGCATGATGCTTGACAGTGTATCAGACATGGCACAGGAAGCAGGAGGTACCCACTGGTCAGATACTCGAGTTCGCAACCGCAACCTCAACCTTGTCATCGATGGGATCAGTTGGTCGCTATTCAAATCGCCGCCAGCACAATTTTAAAAGTCATCCCAGAAGGTGAAACTCACCTGTGGCCAATACAGATCAGAGTTCGTATTTAGTCAAACCTGGGAACACAGCTATCTCTAGTGCTATCGACCTCTGTCATTCACGCTTGAAATCAACTCGTCCCAGGAATTACAAACCAAGCTCTGCACGACAACGAGTTACTACCTCGTTTCACTCATGGAGCAAAGGACACGCACTCACCAGGGTCAACATTGCCATATGCATTCACTTCTTGTCGATGGCATTCCGAAACATTCGAAGACACTCGATCAATAATTGAACGCAGGGTTCACATGCCTTGACAGCTATGGTGAGAGCCTGCCGAGATTGATAACAATCACGAACGTATTACACCGCCAATAGTACGGTGAATGATTATGGAACCGGGAGGAAGTCACTATAACATGGAAAACCACCGATTGCTTGATCACATAGCGTTTCATACCGCCCAAACTTCCGGGTATCGCTGAATACGAATAAACCAGCGGGGCTGCAACAACTGTACCAGATTTCGCATATACAGTGCAACTGTAATGGTTGTTTCAATCAAGTCCGCCTTCGTCTGAAAGCGTTTAGCCGACCCTGCTATCAACTGAGAGAAGCTGCTTCGCTTCATATGTGTGAATGGCAGAGTTCAAGTCTTAGCGTCTGTACCTTGAGTTATAATTATAATACAGGCTCGTTTCCGCAGTTGTGAACAGGGGAACTAGCGTGTGGGAATTTATTACGCTCACTTCTTGCTCCCTTTCCGTAACAAGCATGACTAGTGACTAGTGACTTGCAGTACCTGAACGTTTGAACTCTAGTCTCGCACAACCCCGTAATTGGTTGCCTCTTGGTCCTACTTCGTTCTTGCAGGCATCCCGAGTTCTCTCAGTCACATTCGGTGTTTATATAATCTTGTTGCATTTTCTGCAGCACACTGGCAGTGCATTAGGCTCTTCCATATGGCATTCGAGCCGTACTCGCACAGACCGCTGTCTCTGTTTTCATCTCACTCGCGATCATCCACTCCCATTGTATCAGTTCAGTCGAACTCATATAAACTGGATCAGCCCTAATTATGTGCGTTTGATGTTGTCTCCAATGGTTTGTAATGTTTGCACTACTAAATATAATGGATTCTTCATTTCGCCTCATAGCGCGGTAAACGAGTTCTCTGACTCGGGACGATACCAGTTATGAAATACCTTAGTGGCAAGGAGCATCACATGACATATTAAAACTTGCATGTCCACTCCAGCTCATTGCTAGTGCTGATCAGCAGCCTCCGGCCCTGGTGTGCTATCTTTCGCTGACGTGACTGACCTTGACATTAAGTTACGTCCACTTCATTAGCACATGTCGTTGCCGTTAGCCTGTATATTTTGGTCTGGCACTAGAATGAGGGCCAGCGTCTATGGTGCCGAACAGCAATCGGTGTACACGTGTAACACCACTCGAATTCCCTCAGTTCTCCCTTTCACCTGAACTCTATACATAAACCTCATATCATCTTGTCCTACTACTCGTCCCACCCACCAAGCACTCAGCCCATCCCCAGTCTCTTTGTCATTTCTTGACATCATGACCAGTAGCTGGGAAGGGCAATCTATCATATTTGAAGGTCGGTCTCCATACCGCCTCTGTATTTGTTTCGTGATCCTCACGTTCTGCTACAGTCGTTGGTGGGAAGAAAATCAGTGTCCCCTCCGGACGGATACCAGCAGGCATTTACGTGTCTGTCAATGTCGACTCGAAGAGATGCTGGAAATCAGCTGTGCGGGTGCTATCATCCGACAGTTTTGTAGTATGGGGCGATACTGTGACCTTGTAAAGCCTTCTACACGCACTTGTAGATGTGATTATAGTACTCATCGGCTTGTAGATCCCCAGATGTATCACCTAAGTTATCGGTGGAGATACGGGCATCTTTTGAGCTCGGCCGAATGCTAGGTCGTGGGGAACTCGTGGGAAAGCTTGAAATGTCGTGGGAAGGGCTGCTCGATCGTGGTGACGAGCCTTTCGGTGAGTGATCTGCTTCACACTCATCCGCGTCTCCTCAGAGTCCCTCGTGGTCGCAGATCTATCGTTTCCGCCCATTCGGGGTGTCTGCCCTTCTCTCACACTGAAAGTCGCTTCTAGGATTGCTCGCGCAAATGATGGCAGTGTGCCGTTTGATGTGAGCGACACCGGCCTTCGTGCTGTTGGCTTCTGCTGACAGAATGCAAATCTTAGTCTATCGATGACTGCAGGATTTCTCGAGACACAGATTTGGGCCACATACGATTATGCGACTACATGAGAGGCAGGGGTGGGGTCCAAATCCTGGACGATGCTATGAACTATTTTGAGTTAGTTCTGGACCAGTGTCCAGTCGATCATCCAGACCATGCGGCAGCTCTCACTAACCTTGCGTGGGCCCGCCTTCAAGGGTATATCCGCAAAGATCTTCAAGGCATTTACATTACTACCACTTTGTTATGCGACGCCCTTGCACTGCGTCCGCGAGGCCACCCCGACCGTCCAGTTTCCCTTTATTATCTCGCCGAAGCATTGATTTGGCGCTACAGCTATCATTCTATCACCATTGATATCTTCAAGGCAGCCCAGCTCTGTCATGAGCTACTGTCTCTCTGTTCTGAAGACACCTATCTTCGTAGCATCGCGATCGGCAAAAATGGTGTCGATTATGTGATACGGGCATGCAACGATCTTCCCATAGATGCATCCGATGAAGATATCTACCTTCGACGAATCATACTCAAGCTATGTCCTCCGGGAAATCAACACAATCCCAGCGCCATCGACAAGCTTGCAAAGGCAGTAAAAGCACGCTTTCGACAATGCAGCTTCGATGATCTAGACCGGAACGTACAACTTGGTCGTGAAATTGTTTCTATGTGCCCCGAGGGAAATCCCAACCGTGTTACCTACTTGATTAACTTCGCCGTATCCCTCCGTAGCCGCTTCGATCACCAAGGGGGATCTCATGACCTTGACGAGGTCATCTCTCTCTATGAAGAAGCGCTGCCCCTACGCCCTGTTGGGCACGAATATCATGATGCGTCATTGGATGGCCTGGGGCGCGCCCTCCTCATCCGTTTCAATGAATGCAATGACATTGATGACATAAACAGAGCTGCCGGCCTCTTTCGCAAAGCACTGGCGTCATGCTCACCTGGGCGCCCAAATCGTGACACCAAGCTGAACAACCTTGCTGCCGCGCTCATAACTAGACATGATAAATTACATGCCAGCGAGGATCTAGATGAGGCCATTGATCTGTGCCGCAAATCGCTTCTGTTGCTACAGCAGGACGATCATCCGGAGCGCCACAGAAATTTATTCAATTTGAGCATGGCACTCTGCTCTCGTTTCGCGCAAACACGGAAGAAAAAAGATGTTGAGGAAGCCATTGGTCTTTGCCAAGATTCATTGGTGGCTTTACCGCCACTACACGCGGACCGTTATTTCAGCTACAAATGGCTCAAGGAGGCCTATCTGTCTCGTTATAGGATCCTACCCAACGCTGTTGATCTATCACTTGCAGTGGAGAACTTCAGATTGGCTTCGAATCACCCTACTCAGGGGTTTCCAGAACGCATCAAGGAGGCTATCCAATGGGCTCGCCAATCGGAATTCTATGAACACGAATCTGCCCTTGAAGCGTATCAAACATGCTTAGACCTTTTCAACAACCACGTGACGCAATCCTCGATTGTCTTCGGTCGCAATACTGCAATCGCCATTGATGGTGCTCAATCCCTACCCATGAATGCAACATCATGCGCTATTCGTCGTAATGATCTGCAACGGGGGGTTGAACTTGAGGAGCAGGGTCGCGACCAGCAATGGTCGCTGGCCTGTCGACTTAGGGCTCCACTGGACGATCTCAAGTCCATCAATATCCCGTTAGCTCATAGACTCTCGGAGCTCAGCAAGAGCCTATCTGATGCTCGGAATTCTGCAGGCAATGCAGACCGGGATGCTGCTGATCGGGCAGAAACGGAGTACAGGACACTTAAGACGCAATGGGAAGCTGCAGTGGCTAAAATCCGCAATCTGCAAGGTTTCTCGCGATTCCTGCTCCCACCATCATATGAAGATTTGCAAGTAGCAGCCCGCCACGGCCCAGTCATTATTCTCAATGCTAGCGAATACTCCTGCAACGCCATCATTGTTTCAGCGTTAGGGAAGCCCCACCACGTTCCCTTCCCGTCTCTCGCTCTCACAGATCTGAAGATGCTCAAGAAGCACTTCGCGAACGTGATACGGGACACGGCTCGCATGGACTCAAAGGAACCAAGAACAGCGCTGATAGCACTGCTGCGGACGATATGGGACGAGGTCATGCAACCTATTGTCAATGTACTACAGCAGGATCTGAAATTACCGAGTGGCTCTCGAATTTGGTTATGTCCAACGGCAGCCTTTACATCTATTCCTCTTCACGCAGCTCACCCATTTCGAATGAATGCAGATCGCTCTGGGCGGGAACCGTGCCTGGAGGACCTCTACATTTGCTCTTACACCCCAACACTTTCCGCTCTGATCAGAGCTCGACAGACGACGACGACACGTGTCACTCCTTCCTTCGCGGCGATCGGACAAGATCAACCTGGCGCAGGGCAAGGCACAGTTCTCGCTGCTGTCGAAACCGAACTCGAGCTTGTCCATAAATATGTTCCTCCTAACGTTAAGTTCACTCATCTTTCTGGCGACAACGCTACACAAGCCGGTGCACTCGAAGCTTTGCGATGCAACACCTGGGTGCACCTCGCTTGCCACGGCAAGCAGGACTATGAACATCCCTCCAACTCACGTTTCGTCATGGGAAATAAACCCCTCACGCTGCTTGACATAGTGGAGAACGATGCACTGCAAGCCGAATTCGCATTCTTGTCAGGGTGTCATGCCGCCCGCGGCGATGAGAAGACGCCCGATGAAGTCATTCATCTCGCAGCTGGTGTACAGTTTTCGGGGTTCAAGAGCGTTGTCGGCACTCTTTGGGAGGTTGATGACGCTATTGCAAAACATGTTGTTGAAGCTTTCTACGAGAACATGTTCAAGGATATGGACGAGGGTGTCATGAATTGCACAAAGGCGGCCTGGGTACTCAACAAGACTACTTACGCAGTGAAGAAGAAAGTGCCGCTTGAGCAGAGAATTGGTTTCATTCATATTGGACTGTAGTTTTCTAGCTTCTAGGACTCATTGTAGGACAGTGTTGATGTGGGATTCTCTACTATTCGATCGAACAATTTGTGGTGTACTTCCGGTTGTCGTTTACTACGATTCTCTTGATAACCTTGTCATCTATCATGTACTTGCATTCTGTTGTCCTTACGTACTCGGTCTGGTCATTTGCTTGACAAATATTTGAATGTTTGCGGTACTAGTTGTAGGTCTTCTGTCGAAGCTGGGAATGTCAAGTGGGTTCCGAGATTTCATACTTTATGGTCCTAATAGTGGTCTCGAAAACTAGCTACTGGTGGGGGCATCACAGGACATAATAGAAGATAGGGATTAGTGCTCATCGGTCACCGGTCTGACACTGGTCATGGCTGACATTCGTCTATATGATATCAGCAGTACTAGTGGATATTGGCTGCTTGTGTTATTGGTAAGGTGCACATATCGTAGCGAGGGACAGTGCGAGATATATGCTGAGAATGTTGAAAGAAAAGGACAAGAAAACCTTTGGAGAAGCCAACTGAATCGAGGTGTTGACAAGAGAATCGCAATGGACAGCGCGGCTGCAGAGTGATCACAGTTACGAAGGTCTCTCGAGTCTCGAACTGATGCTTGCGTAGATTGTTGCATTGGCGATAAGCGGTTATCGATTTATCATTTGTGAAGTGGAAAGAGACGATGAGATACCAGCGCTTACCGCATAGTTGGGAGTGCCGGGGCATTGACCAGGTCCAAGAAGTTATAGACAAATGCAAATGATCTGAAATCTGCGCACTTGGCTGACACCTTCATAACGCCAAGAATTGCAGCTGTAATTCCGTGAGATGGTAGCCATATGCGGCGTAAGTTCACCAAATACAACAATTGTAGAGCTTCTTCTTCTGTTACTTGTGTCATGCAGCAGCGCCAACCTCGTACAAGTAGGTACCTAGGACCTTCGTCTATAATAGGACCATAAATTATCATTGACGTTTTCCTGATTAACCCACTCACTCCTTCAATGAAATTCGATCGATCCAGCTTCTCGTTGGTCGAGCTGGGGAATATGTCAACCAGTAAATAGGGGTCATGAAAAAATCACGTACTGAGCTCCGTCATCTGCTCTGCCCATAGGCAGTAATAATACGTTTACGCCCAGGCTCTCCGCAAATGTCAGCGTCACGGGGATCGAGCCTCCCTCGCGTGTGTAGTCTGGTGTCTTCTTATACACAGCCTGAACGATTTCTAATTCATGACGTGGAAGAGAATCGGTGTTTCAGACACACCTCGATAGCCTTCTTTGCAGCTTCAAAGTTCCAGTGCCTGACGTCTGCAACCCAGGGTTTACCGCCGTGCAGGTACTCTATCTCCATCTTGTTCTTGCTGTTAAACTTCGCAAACTCGGCTTCGAGGCATGCATTGACAAGGGGTATGATCTTCTCCGGAGTTTGGGGAGGAACGAGGCTGGTAAGATCGATAACACGTAGATGTTATACCGGAAATGATGAAGCGAAGCGAAGAGCCACAATCAGCGTGTGGAGTTAAATCAAGTGGGGAATGAAGTCACCGAATACTGAACTTCCCGCCCACTTTGGCAGGAATGACAGTTTTAGCTCCGACCGCTGAGAATGCCCCCTCAATGCCGTGTAGGGAAAGGGATGGCTGACGCATTCGGCCCATTAGCACGGTAGTCTTTTCTGATGACAGTGCCACCTTTATGATTCAGTCAGATGCGAGCAATCACCAAAAGAATGACCACTTGCCTTTCCACCAGCAGCCTCTTCAATATCATCTATCGTATAGTCCATCTTCTGGTAAAGCTTCCTACGTAGAATAAGTCTAGATCTCAATGAAAAGTCTGGGCACGCACAATTCCTCCTCGTCATGGGGTGGGACCATGTCGTCGATGCCAGGAATCAAAATGTCTCCGTTATGATCCACAAGCCTGCTCATGAGCTTGATCAAATCTGTCATGGGTTCGTGCACCGTCCTCCCAAATAACCCTGAATGCAGATCTTGACCGGGCCCAGTGATTTTGATGTTGAAATATGCAATACCACGTAACCCATATGTCAGTGCAGGGGTTCGGGTGTTCAGCCAGTAATTGTCACTCTGTCTCGGGCATCAGCACACATCTCCACACTCCACACTGGCAGGCAACGATCACGCACGATGCACACGCAATCAACCCCGTCAAACCACCCGTCCTTACCCTTCTTCACCTCCTCCTGAATGCACTCATCCAACCCCTCACTCCCATTCTCCTCCATACCCTCAAAACAAAATCGTACATTCACAGGCATCGCAATCCCCAGGTTCTTATGTGCCTCTAGGACATTCAACCAGCCCAAAATCGGGCCCTTATCATCTGTCGAGCCACGACCGATCAAGCGACCTGAATCTTCGTCCACCACAAGCGTGAACGGATCCGTCTTCCAGCCGTCCGACTTCAGTGCCTGGTTTCTGCGGTTCAGTACTGTGCTCTTTAACACAACACACACCGCTACAAAGGACTTACAGGCTGCACGTCGTAGTGTCCATATATTAACACTGTCTTCTTCGCAGGGTCGCTCCCCAGGCGTCCGATAATGGCCGGAGGGAGCTGCAGCGTCTGCCCCTGCATCTCATGCGTGCCGAGATCTACGAGCTTAGTCTCGACGCCAAGCTCGTTCAACTGGCCGTTCAGCCAATTTCCCATCACAATGACGTCCTGGCGTCGACGAGCATCGCTGCTGATACTGTACACATGGGAGTCTTGAATTAAGTCGGAAAGTTGATTGCACGCGAGTACATAATCTACCTTTGAATAGCAACGGCATCGCCTAGACGCTTGATAAACGCATCTGCGTGCGTGTCGATGTAGTTGCTGAAGCTTGCTGGAGCTGGCATTGTCGTTGCTGGTGAAGAGATATCGTATGTGCTACGATCTAGGCGAGTCACTAGACCGATAAGATGAAGTGTGCACGCCAAGCATCCCACTTATATCACTGTGCTGCGGCCCGGATCTACAAAGGCAACAAGCGCTATTGGTCAATCAGCTGCCCCCAAGTTAGTCGTCTCTTTATACATCGCTATCACCATGCGCACCATCCCCTTCTCATTCCGTCCATCATCAGCAAATGAAATGCGAGACCAATAATATATCTGCAAGAAAAAGGTAGATAAAATGTTTTGAACAGAAGCAGCCTAAGACGCAAGTAAGGACGACGACGTCGTCGTGTGGTAGTGTATGTACTGAAAAAAAAAAGCCAATATCCAGAATCCTCGTTAATGTATGTATCTTATTTTTCTCGTAGCTTTCATCATCTAACCTGTATAGGGATCACCTTATATTGCTTCGCCGTGGAACGAAGTCGTCGTCAATAACTTACATGAAGAGGATAACAGCAAGGGAAACAGTTGTGCAGACATTCACACAGAGTGTACAAGCTCCACTGCGCGCTTGCAAACCTCGTCGATCCCCCACCGCTCGCCTACTCCATGCTTCAGGTCCAGGATGCCGCCCACTTCATCGCATGCTCGTAGCACCATATCGATATCCTCCTTTGTGTGCGATGCGCTAACACAGAACCGTACCCTACTGGTAACAAGCGGAGTGGCAGGATACGCCACGACAACGACAACGATCGGCGTGCTCCGCGAACGCATCATGCGCGAGAACATGCTCATCTTGCCCGGATTGAAGATGAGAAGAGGGACAATCGGGCTGAATGGATGTCCGTAGGTGATGAAACCGAGTTTCTTGAGGCCCTGATGGAGATACCGCGAGTTGAAGGCAAGACGGCGGATACGCATACGAGCTTCAGAACCGTCTGCAAGAGCCGGATGGAGGTTCATCCACGTCGGCAGCATGCTTGAAGGTGCCATCCCTGGGAGCTCCTCTGCACCGTCCTTCAGCGTGACGATGGAGCTAGCAGGGCTGAGCGTGAGTGCGGACTTGGTCGACTGTGATGACGGAACGACGCCCATGATGCTAGCCATCGACGAGACGACCTGGGTGAGAACGGGGGGCGTCATAGCTTCCGCATACAGTCCGGAGTGACCATGCAACCGGAGAGCATCAATAAGGATTTTAGGTCCTGCGATGTATCCACCAGCAGCACCAAAGGACTTGGTGAAAGTGCCCATCAAGACATCGATCGAGCGAGGAGGGATGTTAAAGTAATCTGTGACACCGCGTCCATGGGGACCCAGCGCACCGATTGAATGTGCCTCATCAACAAAGAGGAAGAACTTGGATAACATATCAACATTATAACACAACACACTAACTGCGGTACACACCTTGTACTTCTGCTTCAGTTCGACAATTCTGGGCAGGTTCACGAGAGTGCCTTCCATAGAATACAAACCTTCCACGATGACTAAAATCTTCTTCCACGGACGATGTGTCTTGGGCTGACCCTGGCTGATCACTTCGCGCAACAAGGACTCGAGGCTTAACATATCGTTGTGTTTGAACATCCGGACCTGCGCATCACTATGGCGTACACCGACACGAATACTAGCATGGTTCAGTTCGTCGGAGATGACAAGGGATCCCTTTCCCACGAGTGCGGGGATAAAAGTAGAGTTGGTGGCGAAACCCATCGAGCTGATCAATGCATCTTCCATACCAACAAAACGTGCAACGAGGGCTTCGGCAGATGTGTGGAGCTCGCTGCTCCCGCTCTCAAGACGCGTGCCGCAAGTGGAAACGCCATATCGACGGATGCTTTCCTCAACTGCGTCTGCACAGCCGCCACGGGCCTGGGCAAAACCGAGATAGTTATACGAAGAAATGTTCAGCGCACGGGTCTTGCCACCGGTGAAGATTTGAGTGTGATTGTTATCCGTGGAATACCGGTCGAGAATAACAATAGTGCGTCCCGCAACACCAGTGACAGGCTGGGAAAAGCAGTCATCCATGCGACGCTTAAGCCGACGGGTGTAAAACGAATCAAAATCCGAGTTCAATGGCGCGTAACCCTGGGTACAAAATGAATTAGATGATGGGGAGCAAGGTTGAGAGGCAAAGAAGATTGCAACGCACATCGTGGGGCATAAGGTGGGTGAAATAAGACTTGGTAAAACGCTTTCCGAAGAAGTCGCGCATATGACCAAAACAGAGGAGAATAAGGTAACTAATATAGGTGGTGAGGAGGATATAATATGGAGGCTCTTCAATGCTGTGCTCTTGCACAGGTTTGGAGTAGTCATGCTTAGAGACGCAACGATACGCCTCGTTTGCACAATGACCAAACTCCGTGTGAACGGTGGTGAAGACCTGTTCAGATGTTGGGGGTGTAAAGGGGTACGCGAGACAATTATTCTCATCGTCCTCGTTGAGAATGGTGTCTTCTGATGAAGCTGTGACAGAAGATGATAGTGAAAGTGCAGGGGTTGATGAAACCGAAGAATTGTCATGACTGCGAGCGCGCGTATCTGCTTGGTGAACAGCAGAAAGGTAGGACGCTGCGGTCGCCATTGACGACAACTGGCTAAGCGATTTTTTCTTTTTGAAGATGGACGGAGAACGTGATGGCGGATTCAACGCCATTGGTGAAGGCATTTTTCTTGTCCTATTCAAACCACAGAACGAGCACGGTGAGGAACGGGGTAACTTATAACGACCTCAGAAAGGGATGGTATAAAAACTTTGCTTATGTCAGAAATATACACGCCCCCCGCTCCTCTGATCGTAGTTGGTATCTCTCCGCTTATCTCACTCATTACTCACTCTTGGGAACATTCCAGCTCTACTGTCTTCCTCTGTTTTGACGGTGCAACAAATCACGTCGACCGTTTATTTTGAGTATGATGACAGTGGACATCCCTACTGATTGCGCCATCTAGCCATTACACCGTACCGACAACGCGAGAAAATCGACTTCAAGTGCGGCTCGATGTGCGTGGTATGCTTCCACGTGTCAAGTCTAGTCAGCGCCATGTACACAATTGTCGTATTTCAATCGAGCTTAGAACCGATGTTCTGTATCGTACAAAATCCTGGAAGGAACGACTATTTTCAAGGTGACAAGCTATCTATATCTACATATTATAAGAACGGAGCGATTTCCAATATGGTGTCGACGCCATGTACGCGCTCCACTTGAACCTGCACACGTATTGTGCATTACGGAATCTCTCCGTCCCGGCTTGATCGATCGCTCGACCCCTTTCTCGCTATGGCGTGCGGACTTCCAACATGCCTAATCTTCAACCTTACCATGGCGTCGAGCTGCACCTACCACGGCATTGTGGGCATTCAAAATGCCTCACCGTACTCCCTCGATAAGAAGCGCTTCTGGAAAATGGACGGTTTTGTCCCTCTTGCTACAGACGGAGAGGACTCTAGCAATGCAATGGATCTTCCTGCGTCCGTCTTCACTTTCGGAGGTAGCACCGCGCCTCCTGAGGATGGTGTTTACTTCATTAATGCTCGCCTTATTACCACTACTGCAGGCGATGAACCTGCACTCGAACTGTATTGCGTTGACGTCTGTCATCTCCCATTTATTTCACTCAGATATCAACTGACTCCTAATTTCCCAAGCCAATCCAGCCTTTGGAAAGTGCGCGTGCCCTTCCCTCAGTCCTCATCGCTGGCAAAGCACTTCTGAACTTGCTGAAAGTCGGTCTTTTGACATGGATGTGATGCAGTACGGCATTATGGCGCAGCAGCTCGCTCGCATCCGTTGTTACTATCCATCGGCTCATCCTCGCCTCGATCGTACTCCTGTTCCCGGCGCTGAAAAGCATGTTATCATTCAAGGTAACATAACGGAGCTTGATCATAAGCGATGCATCGTATGCGTGCATGACATCACTCTCGGTCCATCCACCAATGTTGTCGAGAACCGCCGTCATCGAGATGCTGCCGCGCCCACTCAACTGAAGAGCTTCAACTGGAGTGGCAAGGGCAAGAAAAGCAAGCGCGCATCTCATACTGACTCTGACGCGGAATCGGAGTCGACGCATCAGAAGAAAGGCAAAAAGCGTCAGATAATGTCTGCAGAGGGGGCTATGAAAGAGGCTGGTCCGTCTACCAAGATCGACTGAGATGAAAAGGGTTTGGTGCGGAATGCGCGTGTACGGATCACCGCACTGCACAGACGGTTCGTGGAAGTCCAAACTCCACAGACAGGCGAGATTCACTGTCTTCCGCGCATCACTTTCTCTTTCAATCCGCCGAGGTCCAGTTGGACAGTGAACCGTAGGCAGTTTCCACTGAGAGCCGCATACGCGACGACGTTCAACGGCTCGCAGGGTCTAACTCTGCGACGGGCGGTGGTCGACCTTCGCACGGATGTATTTGCGCATGGTCAGCTATACGCTGCACTATCCAGAGTGCGGAATCGTCGTGATATACGTAGTTTACAATTGTTTGTTGCTGTAACAAATCAAAATGGACCGTCCGCAGGCAAACGGAGTGCTTGTAAATCAATATCCTACATATCTCTACTGGCACGAGCTGCCCACCCACGCTTGCACCAACTACCGATCCGATCTTACATTATGATACAAGTTCAAACTATGACGAACCTAGATGTCAGGTTGAAATCGCCGCTTGCCTCAGCTTTGTGATTGATCTTCGCGTGCTTAATAGTCAACATCCTGCTCAATCAGCGCGACGGCTCTTGAGGAGCGAGGCTTGATGGAACACTTGAATGGTTTGGGGTGGCTAGAAGGATATACATCCGGATCAGCGCCAGACGTGATCAGATGTATAACATACCTGATTGTGCCTGACAATGGATCAACCTCAGGGGTGATCTCAATACCGTTCTCGACGGCCTTCGAGATATCAAACACGGCCAGTGACATCACGGCGGACAACCAGACCGAGGCTTCAGCGAGGTAAATACCCGTAAACGAAAATGAATTCAACGTCAGAATATAATCTGAGAGTCAGATATACCTGGACAAATACTGCAGAGCAGAAAGTTAGCCTGGCACAAAACCTTACTGCATGCTTACCGTCTTCCAAAACCGAAGCAGATCGTGCGTGGGTCTGTCTCAGGCTCCTTGCCTAAAAAGCGTTCAGGATTGAATTGCGAAGGGTTAGCGTATCTCTTCGGGTCGTTCATCATGAACCTGCCATCATACTCTGTTCAAATGTTGAATATGGAAAAAAGAGGTACCAACCAGATGTTAGTCACGACCAAGGAACCTTTTGGGATGTAGTACCCGTCATAGATGTCGTCCTTAGAGACGCAGTGGGCAAAACCTGACATTTAAATACCGCTCGGAAACTAAATAATGCGTTAAATGAAATACACAAACCGGTAGGGATAACAGAATGCCATCGTAGGCCCTCTTTAACAAGCGCTCCGATGTAGGGGAGTGTGTCTTGGTCGGCGAAGGATGGAAGACGATCAGGACCGATAACAGCATCTATTTCAGCCTGAGCCTTCTTCTGCACGTCAGGGAATAGCGTCATAGCTAGAAAGAACGCATCGATAGTAGCAACAGTCTGAGAAAAAGTGTACCGCTCTCAGAAGACGATTGTCAGAAATATGGGGGAGGGACTAACAGTGTCGGAACCACCGGCGAATAGGGCTGCAGCGGACCATTTCACAATGTGCTCGTCTTGCGCTGATAAAATATCGTCTCCCAACAGATTCGATGTGAAAGACTCCGGGGCAATGCCAGAGGCCTGTGAAAGTCAAACTTCAACGCATACTCGCGGGATTGTGAATGATTGTCACCATCTGATCCACGACGAACTTGTGGGGTGCACAAACAAATTCTTCAAGGTTGTCGTGCCATTCACGGGCCAGACGCTTGAAGCCAGCACCAGGGAACCATTCAGGGACGTGGACCACTAAAAGTGGTGAAGCCATTGAAAGCAAACGTCTGAATGGTATGGCTTACAGAATGGCACAACATCAGCCATGAAAGCACCAGGAGCGGTGACACGCGACCACTGGTCCAGAACGCGTTCCGCGAGGTCGACGAAGGGATCGTCGTTCTCTTTCGCCTCGTACCCATGAGAGATGCGCAGAATCACAGCGCCAGTGGTGCTATAAAAATCAAGATCGTGTCGATGCAACGATAAACGATGCGTACTGTCGAACATGCGCCTGCAGTTGATCAGGTTTCGCAAGCACACGCTTGAGGAACCGGTGAGTCTCGACCTCCCCGACCTGGTTGTATATGGCCACAGCGGCGCGGGTGCCAATGACGCCGTGGAAATTTTTGCGGTGCCGGCGCAGCTGGTCGCCATAAGGGAGGAGAACCATAACGTTCTTCCAGCCAATAAGTTCGCCGCCAACAGGAAGAATAGGACGGTCAGAGTAAATGGTGCTCTTGTTTTCCAGCATGTCCATCGCGATCTTGACAGAGTTCACCACCACGATGTGTCGACCCAGAACATTAATATGCGAAATGTCACCTGTCGACAAGATATTGAAATGCAAGATTGTGTGAAACAATAGATACTCACCATACTTTTCGCCCCACTCCGTGAAGGTGAGCCAGGGCCTGATGTATGGCATGTCCAGGACGTTCCCAATGATAGGCCACCCTGGAGGACCAGGGGGATATGGAGGGTTCTTCTTGTTGAAGACCTGCTTAAGCAGATATACTCCGACACAAGCAAGGCATAGGTCGAGCGCAGTGATGTTGGTGAGGGCCAACATGATCTAGTACTAGCAGAGGACGATCAACTCGAGAGTGGGGTTGTAGTGAAGCTTGCAGGACGAGATGAAAAGATTCCTATACTGACCATCTTATTTATAAATTATAACTGAACTTAAGCTTGGGCCCGTCACGAGGCTTGATTATTTTGAAAAAAGTCCGGATGGAAAAGATCATCAATCTCAGTGGAAACCTACATCAAGAATTAGTGGTATCATGATAAGACTCAGCTGTAAGTAGTTAAGACTGTCGTCCCTTAACCGTTACGCCAAAAGGCAGTGATAAACAAAGTACGCTTTGTTTATCGCGAACAGTATTTATGCTGATTGTAGGCTAAGGCCGCGGACGCGCCAGTTCCCGACTTCGCCGACCGTTGCAATCACGTATCGCATTGCCTTAGTCCAACTGTATCCACCAGCTAAACATTCACCCTCCATGAGTTATCGGTCTTACTCACCAAATTCAGACAGCCGCAGGCCATTTGAGACGTCATCCAAGCGAGGCAGTGTGATCGAGACTCATCTGCCAATGAGTGTTCCATGAGACACCCTGATCTTGATCGATCGAGCGTCTCACCCAAGGCATCGACCAGCTACTGTCGTAGGTCCGGCAATTCATAAGCAATGGTCGATTCGGCTCCACCCCTCTAACTCGTGTAACAATTCCGCCTGAACATCAGGGAAAATCTCCCGCGCAAATCTAGCTAAGTTTAGATCTAACTTCAATGGTTATCGAAAATTCTTCCTAAATATACTACTACACCTCAGGCAGCACTTCTCGGGAGTATTAAAGGTCTCTCGATCCCTATTATTATGTTAGAGTTATATGGTTTGAGAGACCTGGCCTCGCGGAGGATCTGAATATAGCTAGTGCTGCCGGAGTCCGGTTTTGAACTTCGGTTCGGACCTGAACGCTTCCGAACCGGACCATGCGTTCGGTCCGGGGTTCGGCATAATGTAAGAACCGAACCTATTATTAGGTTCGGGGTTCGGCTGATGCCTGACAATTCTGAACCCGTTCGAACCAAATGGGACTTCTGAAGTTTCTGTATATGATCCACTCGCCCTTATTGCAACATCTGACTTCCTCAGTGATCTATCCAATGTTCTGGTAAGCCCATTAATGTTCATCATTATTCAGATTTTCTTGACTTAAGTCATACTGACTGCCCTCTTCAACATTTTACTGGAGGTTGATGGCATTGGGTCGAGGTGGACTAGTGATGTTCCGGCCTGGCTTCGAGCCCCGGGCCAGCCGAAGCCAGGCCTGATTGAGCCGAGCCAAGCCTAGGCCTAGGGTATGGCCTGACCACGGCTTAGGCCTAGGCTTGAATTTTGTGAAGCCTAAGCCACCAGCCCAAGCCGCGGCTTAGACTATATCTAAGAAGTAAAGTACGATGGTTTTCGGAAACGTACGGGCGCTCGTGTGGCTTTCTCCTATTTCGCTAAAGGCCATGTGGTTTGCGCTTAGCTCGCTTAACCTTGATTTGGAAATTCTTGTGTGATTGTGTGAAAAAGACTTCCAAAATGAGATTTTCAACAAGCAAAATTCTACGGAGTCCGAAACGCGATATAGTGGACAGTAATCCTCACGCCTACTGCGCCGCGGCCACAATAGGGTCAAACAACACACTTTTCCTACCATGGGGGAAAGGCATCAAGCATAACAAAAGCAATAATAGAAATTTGGTTACATTGGTTACACAAATCATTACACAACTTGGCTGCTGCTTTTGAATAGAAATTCTCGAATTAAATTGCCTTCCCCTGCAGCCAAGTGTAATAATAAAGTGTAATACACTTTTTGTGGGTTTCAATTCTTATCAACAATGATAGAAGTGATTTATCAATGAGTTCAGGCAATTTTCACACTTGCTAAACAACAGTTTGAATATTATAACAAAGATGGATCAAAATTTTCCTATTCCATGAGTTGTTGACTATAAAATTGCTACATTGCAAGGTGCATGATGCTGATGTCTGCACATTCACCATTTAGACAACAACCACGGATAACACCCGAACGTGACCGTCAGTCACAACGCGAACAAGATAGAATTAACAGACTTCAAATGACGTCTCCCACCAGATGCAATCGCCGTCGGGCCACCCAGGATAATCAGGACAGACCTCCGCCTGCTGTACCACAGCCAAATTTTGTGCCAGCTAATGAGCCACAAGCAGGCCCTGTTCTACGACCTTTTGCATGGCAACCCCCCGCACACTTCCCACATCAACCACTACCAGTTGAGTGATATCCTGGCTTGCCAAGAAATGCAATTGCGCATGTGGAGCGTGCTCATCAGTTTCCTCCTGTTGATTATAATGCTCGCTTAAATGAGCAAATGAATGCTGCTCAAAATAATAGGTGCCATCAGCGGAATCTCCGTCAGCGACAGGACAGAGATGAAATAAGACAGCAGGCACAGGCAGAGGTTATGGCAGCTAGAATGCAGCCTCCACAGGTACCTCACATTCCTAATGAACCTGCTCCACCTGCTCCCGTGCCTCCTGCTCCTGCATATGGCCCTATTCATTATGAGGGTGCAGTTGGACCTCAGAACTTTAATGATCCCCTCCGCTACTTTGCGCCTAATCCTGTACCACCTTTGCATGCTCCGCCTCAACCTGATTACCATCAGTTTAACATCCAGTTTCATCACCATTTCCAGCAAGAAGAGATGGAAAATGAATGGATTAGAAATGAGTTTCTTCAGAGACAAGCACAAGAGGCATTTCATCAACAGCAGATTCAGCTGGAATTGCAGCAGCAGGAAGTTGGGCGAAGAAATAGAGAGGCTCAGTATGCTTTTGAAATACAGCAAGAGGAGGCTGAGCGGGCTAATAGACAAGCTCAGGAGGCTCATCGCCAACAGCAGGAGGAGGCTGAGCGGGCTAATAGACAGGCTCAGGATATTCAGCAAGCAGGTCAACAGGCTGAAGAGCGCCAACACCGCCAGGAGCAGAGGGATCATGAGCAACAGGAGCGTCTTGAAGAGGCATTGCATGAATATGATAATCCTGCTTCTCAGCAGCAGCACGAAGACGACGAGGAAAGAAGAAGAACTCAGGAGCAAGAACGTCGCCGGCAGCGCGATGCAGAGGATGATGAAAATATCAACCAGGCGCCTGTCCGAAATATCCCTATCCCAGATGGAGCTCGACCATACACAGAGCCCATTGATCGTCACACTCTTGGTCCTCTTAATGTGGAGTGCCCCAACTGCCATGCCATGCATTTTGCATGTGAAAGACTCACCAAATCATCCGCACGAAATCCACGGTTTGGTACGTGCTGCTTGGAGGGAAAAGTCGACCTTCCTCCCTTTCCAGCATGGCCACTCGAGCTGCAACAGGCATATGGAAACAGAACATTTGTCTCCAAGATTCGCCAGTACAACAGTGCTCTTGCATTCACATCCGTAGGCATCACCATCGAGGATAGGGCCCTTCAAGGCTCTGGCCCAAATGCTTTTCGTATCCATGGATCTCTTCACCACCTTATGGGCAGCCTGATTCCCCCTGAAGGTATTCAGGCTTCATACGCTCAAATCTACATTTATGATCCCAAACGTGCCACCGACATCCGCACCAACCGACCAGGAAACGAAGGCCTTGATCGTCGTATTCTCAGAGACCTCCATGATATGATCTATCGAAATCATCCCTATGCAGGCTCTTTATAAGCAGGCCTATCAAGTTATGAGTGAGAAGCCTCCAGAGCAGCACACAGAAGTTCGTGCACGCATTCACTTTCAGCAGGGCACAGATGGTCGAAGATATAATCTTCCCACTGCTGATGAAATTGCTGTGATCATTCCTGGAGATGGATCTGAGGAGGTATCCGACAAACGAGATATTGTCTTGCGACTTCAAGGTGGTCAGCTGCGATGCATCAGTCAGCTCAGCCATGCATACTCGACCCTTCACTATGTCCTTCTCTTTCCTTCTGGCGAGGAGGGCTGGCACCTTGGAATACCTCTCAACATCCCTCAAGGCGGACGTACACGTTCAAAAGAAGTGACCCAGCTGTTATACTATGCCTTCCATCTTCACCCCCGCCCCATCCATATCGATAACAACAACATCTTTCGTGGTGGAAGACTGTTCCAGCAGTATGTCGTTGATGCTTGGGCTTCCATCGAACAGAGCAATCTGAATTGGGTCACCAAAAATCAAAAAAAGCTTAGGGCGGACTGCTACCGAGGCCTGGCAGACAACATCCTTAATGATGGCACAGATGATCTGGCTCAGACAGGTCGCGCAATCATTCTGCCATCATCGCATACTGGAAGCCCCCGCTACATGCACCAGTTGCTTCAGGATTCCTTGGCCATTTGCCATGCCTGCAAGAAGCCCGACCTCTTCCTAACAATGACTGCAAATGGGAGTTGGCCTGAGATCACTGAAAACCTCCTTCCAGGTAAATTTTAATAATTGATTTATGATGTTGTTGCTAATATTCTTATGTAGGTCAGAGCGCTGTGGATTGTCCAGACTTGGTGGCTCGCGTCTTCTACCAAAAGCAACAAGCGCTCTTGAAGAAGGTTCGCAAGGGCTACTATGGAAAAGTTGCAGGATTGGTGTACACCATCGAATATCAAAAGTGTGGTCTCCCTCACATGCATCTGCTTATCTTCCTCGACTCAAATCATAAGATAAGGACTGTGGAGCAAGTCAACTCCTTCATCTCCGCTCAGATACCAGATAGAGATGTGCACCTGCAACTCTACGAAGCTGTATCAAAATACATGCTTCATGGCCCATGCAGTCCAGAGCGTTGCTTGGAGAATGGACAGTGCAAAAAGCACTTTCCAAAGTCTTTCTGTGGTCAGACATCCTTGAAGGATGATGGCTACCCAGAGTATGCAAGACCAGACAATGGTCGCATGATCCAAAAGAATAACGATGTCTTCACCAATAAAGATGTCGTTCCTCACCCTCCAGAACTGCTGGTCGAATTCAACTGCCACATCAATTTGGAAGTCTGCGCTTCAATCAAATCTGTCAAGTATATTCATAAGTACATCTACAAAGGACATGACCGTGCAACTTTGGAGATGGAAGGACCGGTGGATGAGGTCAAATCATATCTTGACTCCAGGTATATTAGCTCAATTGAGGCTGCATGGCGCATCATGGAAAATGAGATGCACCTTGAATGGCCTGCTGTCTACCGCTTGCCAGTCCACCTCCCAGGTGAACACATGGTTGTCTATGATCCTGAGGATAATCCCGAGGATGTTGTCAAGCGTGCAGCAGCAAAGGAGACTCACCTCACTGGA